GGTTAGCGTTTACGGCACTTACATACAAAAACATTTTCCCGACCGCGTGTTTCACGTTAACTTCGATTAATCAGTATTAATTAACGCGCACTTCAACACAAAGTAGCTTCAGCGGTTGGGCGGTGTCCGGGGCAATCCTATACGGGTAGTATTTTCCATGGATGACCATCAGGAATGAAGTAAATTAATTAATTAAGATGCGGGATGATTTTGGTTAATAATCATGTTAATCATAATCGGATCGTCTTTAGAATCATTCAACGGTTATTTCATGATACTAGTAATTGTTTGAAATCGGTTTGATTGTTCTACGATTTCTAATTCCGCATCATAAAAAAAATAGTCGCTGTACGGTAGCTGAACGGTAGCTCGCTGGCTGCTGAAACTCACACGGGACGGTCGGCCTTGTTTACAGTAACACCCTGATTACTGATTACTGATACTTCTTCGTATTTTACTTCGTTGCGGTGTTATTTAATTATTTTAAATAACAATTTTCAGAAACCATGTGCTTTCGGTAATTACGTCGTTCGTCGATTTCCACTAATTGCTTTTGTTTATTTGAAATTCGGTCAGGAAACGTTTTCGGAAAAAGGTTTAACGGTTTTAAATGAATTAATATGAAAATTTGAAGTTTAATTAAGGAAATTAATAAATTAAGGAAAATGCGAATAAAGTTGCATAAGTGGGTGGGTGATAAGGTATCAGTTTTTGGATTTTTCTAAATCGGGCGGAAACTGTAGGAGGTCGGGGTAATGTGGGAAGTATATTCGGATGTTATAAATTTTTCGGAAAAGAAAAAAAAAATGTGACTTCGTTACAAGCGTATATATAGCACTAATAAAAAAGCGTTTGGCATTTAGGATTTCATGATCAATCAACAAGAAGTTGAAAGTAATAACAGAACATAATAATAACAGAGCATTAATAACAAGCGCTTAACGTTTAGGATGTCATGTTGCCCGTTTTTCAGAAACAAGTCTAAAGTAATAAGACTTAATTATAACAGAGCGTAAATAAGAAGGGTATATATACATACATAGATGTCATGTTAAAGAATTGACAACTATGATGACATTTTAATAAAATTGTCAACTGTCTCATTTACAGCATTTGAGGAATTTCGTAACTTTCTGTTACAAAGGGTTACGAAATGGCGGAGGACTAGGAATGTGAGGTGTTTATGAACATTGTGGGATATATCAGGATGTAAAGGACAAAAATGTTGAAGAGAATCACCGTAGGATATCTGGGAAAGAATATTGGGATGACGGATAATGTTAGGAATGTTATGAAAAATATTATCCTTCATAACGGAAATAAGGTTGATGAAACGGGATGAAGGGTATTTCAAATAAAAATTGACATCTCTCGCGTCATCCTGTAATACTATTAATTCATGAACATCGGTAATGTCATCAGAACAAAAGAACTGATTACAATGCTGACATTCATAATTTATTAGCTTTTTAATCAAGTACCCTGCAACATAAGCTGACTTGTTAAGGTCAACCTCAAGTAACGATACGGTACTCTTAGTGTTGGTAGATGATTTCGTAGTGGTAACTGAAGAAAATTGATAGGAAGAAGATGAAGAAGTGGGATTGATAGGATCACTGGGAGTAGAGTTGGAAAGAAGAATATTATAAGAAAGAAGGAAGTCTTCGCCATCATCTTCACAATTCGTCCCAATGCCACAAGGACCAGTATTATTTAAAATTACTGTTTTGTAAGCATCGACGAACTGCGAAGGTGTAGGCTTTGTGTTACCACCACATAATCCTCTAGCAACACTAAAGAGATTCTCTAAAGGATCTTGATTTAAAGATCTCAAAGTGAGATGCTTGAAACCCTTACCCCTTAA